GATAAACACATACATATGTATTTTCTACCTTACAAGGTACTGTTTCAAGCGATATCTTAAAGCTAACGAGAATACTATTTCATGTGTACTATATAAACAAAATATCTTTAAAATAATAATAATTTTTAAAAATCTACTCTTACTCACCTGGCCATTTTGCAGTATTCCATACAATAACATTATTGTCTACAGAAGCAGATGCTAGCCAAACATCCCCTGGAGACCAAGCTACATCGAGGATATCCCCATTGTGGCCTCTTAGTGTTGTGACACTTCGCCAAGATTCAACATTCACAACATTTGAACCAAATACAGCTCCACCTGTTGGTAACATTTAACTTTAGGATCATGTGACATAAAGCTGAGGAAATTCTTAATAATTTATCAATAAACATATTTGAAGAGATATAAAAGTGAATATGTAAATGTCATACGAATTGAAAAATATCTTAATCTGGAACAGATCTTCACCAAACAAGAACAAATGTTCTCAATACACTATCTGTCTCAACATCTTCCTTTTTAACTCATTGTCTTGATATTTTTACTACTGACTGGGCCACTGACAACTTCACTGATTCTTTGTAATCCTATACTCTAAAATGAGTAAAGGACTTGCCTCCATAACTGCTCTGCTGCCAGATGATAATAACTTTATCGTCTCCAGCAGAAGCTAAGAAACGTCCACTCTGAGACCACCTCACACAATTCACACACCCCAAGTGCTGGTCTAGCATACACAACAACTTCGGTACCTGAAGGAAAAATTTATTTCACAAAATTAGTATACTTCCTTACACTAAAATATATTGTAATATCAAAGCAGAATTTAGGACCGACATTTGACTTTTTGTAACTCTAAATAACACTTTCAAATAGGCATTATGTGAAGCTTTTTTTTTCAACATACTTACTAATACATCTATTTCACTACTATTCAACAAAATAACACCTAATGTTACTGTTGTAGTTCACCTATCTTATCATTTACTGTACCATACGTGATTTTGAATTTTTTTCCCCTATGATTTCTCAAAACTTTTGGAACGGGCACTACTAAGAAAATAGTAGACAAAAGTAACAACCCATTTGATATTAATATCCATCATGTCATCAGAAGTCTGCTACATATACATACACATACAACAATGTATCCATAAGATCATTCAATGCAAATGTTATTTTAGAGAAGGGGTGTCACTCTCTCCACATGCCACTTTTCATTTCAGTTACCATTTTGAGAACCAACAAAGGTATATATCTGGTTTCTCACCATATCATCATTAAAAAGACTGATATTTCAAAATGATTATAACTTCACAGACCAATAATTATTCTCATTACCCAGTCTGACACTGATGACCATCCAGCGGGCCACATTTGGACTGCAGGTCCTGAGTTTGACACCTTTGGTTTAGAGGCTTGCTCTTTTGATTAAAACAAAAAATCTGATGATTATTACCTTCTCATCTTCCTCATATTTCTCTAAAGCAACTGGTTTCAGGTTCCACACCACAACCCTTCCAGAGGAATCCTGTCCTTGTCCACCTGTCGCAAATCTTGAACCATCAGGATGTAGGTCAACACTGAAGATTGCCTTGTCACCTGCAAATATATAACAATTTTAATAAAGTTTATGCCACTGGTGAATTTCTTTTTCAGCTGCTTTTTAAATAAGAGAATATAATTTCAGAGTGTTAGCATTCAAAGTTGCTGTTTATAAATAAATTTGGCCTAAAAGACAGCCGTATATTTTAAGAAATACAAAACTGTTACCTTTAACTGAACACACGGCAATGACAAAAGGAATCTACTAATTCACTTACTACCCTTATTTTCTATCTGTAGATCATATTGCCTCTGAAACTGGATATTGGTTTAGTTGAATTATCCAGATTTACAGAAGGACAAGTGATACTTATTAGTACTATTGAAGCACAAGTTGTGGAAATTTCAACCTAAGGTGGTAGAAATTGGTTCCAGCATATCAAAAAGGAAATTTGTACATGCACACTGGAGATCTCACTGAAAATTACCATATGCTGTTCCCTATTCTTCATACTATATACAAAGTGTATCTATGGAACTAAACACATAAAACTTCTCCAGATAATTCACAATCTTGGGAGTAATTTGACTTGTATGGCATACATACATATACATGAATTATTATCACAATTTGACTAGTGCAAACAAATCAATAGTTTTTGTTTCACATAATACGAGTAACAATACTCTAGTAACCACTAGAGTATTGTTGATCAAGTTTGTGCAAAAACCTCCATGCCTGTCAACACTCCAGAAAAAGTCCAATAACCTTACACCCTGTAACTACTGGCTAAATGGAGCTTGTAGATATCGAAAGCCATCTCTTTTCTAAATAAGTAATCAGTCTAAATTCTATCTTGCTATAGCATACATATATGCTTGCCTCTTCTAGAGTGCTCTCCATATTGAGACTGTGATGGCATGCTACTTTATGCCACATGCGAGTGTAGACAGACCGTATACACCTATCTGCGCATGTGCCAAAATACATCATGTATCATCTGCACTGCACTGAGTGGTACCCAAAATATGAAGACCACGCGTATACACCGTATATTGCAGGTTATTACACTGAAATTCTTACAGATAACATTATGAAATAACTATATTAGTAATGCAATAATAATGATCGAGTTGCAAGGGCGGATAATTATAAATTGTATCGGTTTCCAGCGAACTTTTGTAAGCAGTGGACCATCATGGCCGTTTAGAAGAGCAGACAGAGTTAACCTTAACTATGAGTTCCAATCATTTCATAATTACTGATTATACACAAACAGAACAATTTAACCTGATTTGCATGTAATAGCTTTCATGGATCATTATAATTATGTTTCTCATAGTGTTGGTGATTAGATATTAGCAAGAATAAATAAAATAAGCAAAGTAGAGGACAATGTCATTATTTGGAAGATGAATTAAGGACACTATTTCATTAGGGATATGATGTTATTGCACAGTGAATGAGCATAACTGTACAGGAATAAATCAGTATATAAAACGTTCTCAATTTTTTGCGACATATTTGTTTTACCTTGTTATAGGCCTACAGAAATCTATATTTATGCAACACCAGCATAAATATAGATTCATATATACTCCCATACAGCTGGCTGGCTGGCCCGGAATCTGGCTGCTGCCCATGACGTATTTGGAGCGCGAGCTTCAATCCAACATCACACTGGTGGGATGCCCAGCAATGTTTATTTTTCTGGGTGTCTCATGTATGGGACATCCGTTGTAAATGGTTTAACACTTAGTGCTACCTTACAGAAAATGCAATATTAAGGACTGTGGCTGTGTGAGCGAGTCTTGGACTTAGTCTCTGAGCAACGATATGCAGCGGATATTTTTGTCATTTTGCAGTAAATAAGAGACCTATGTTGGCCTTCTCAATGTTGCATTTATTTCACTATCTGAAATATGTCATTATACTTTAAGAGTATCATTTACATATTTCCTAATTTCTCACGTGCAATCCATATATTTCCAACAAATATCATCACTGGCATTGGTGTCTACAAAATTAAATTCTATATCTGGACAATGCACATCACAAGTTCATTAATGTTAAATTCATTAATATTGACATTGCATAACTTTCTTAAGAATCTAGGCAACGATTCTGTAACTAAAGTATACCATTCGGCAAATACATATAAACCGAACCATGTCTTCCAAATATGCCATCAAATGTTCAACATGCACTCCATCCCTTCAGATTTCCAACTGCTCGATATAAACACAAATTACCGACACTATCAAATACAATACGGCCTTCGCGCAATAAAGAACACATATGTGGTACATCACAGTTATTACACACGTTGATACCCTTCAGAGACGGTATAAATAGTGTTTACCGCACGTTAACTTACTCAAGCGATGTGTCAAGCCATCCACCTGCACCGCCACCTTTCGGCTCAATCTTCTCACAATAGTATAGTGTGATTCCTTCCCGTAGCTATTTCAGTGTGACCCTCCGACACCCCAAAATAGTAAACCACATGACACGTAACCTTATATCAGATGGTTTGACGTCTAAAGACAGGAGGTCAGGTCAGGTCACCATGCCCAAACAATACCTTGAATAACTCCCCCAAATATACTTGACCTACTCACCATCATGGTTGATCCAAGGCGGTTTTAGGAGCTTCATGGTACTTCCAGCCTCTTCAGAACAAACAAGATACTTGTTCTGTCTCTTTCCAATCACACAAAGACATTATTCAAACGCCGCCTAAATCGCTAAGACGCTTCCTCCGCCATCTTTGTTTACGAATCTCACGGCGGTTGATCGACGGACTTAAACCTTTTTGTGAGATAGGGGACTTGTTGAATTGTTTTTTGTCGTGGAGAAATATACGCGAAGTAAGTATTTTTTAGAGGATGGTATTAATTTATCGTTTGTGTGGTAATTAGTTGGTTTCTATCGTTTTCAAATGAATATATACGCCGCATCATTACGTGTGAGAAAGTACGCATGTGTTCATGAAATGCTGAAGATGACTATTATATATTAAATAAGCTGATTGGTAATATAAGATATACGATAGAATAAATATGACAACTCTAATTCAAATGTATCAGTATCCGCTTCAGAGCAGAGCCATCTACCTGCGGCCGGCGAAGTTACCACGCTGTCGCTAAACGTAAACAAAACAGGATGGTAAGTAGCATCTTTTTCGGCTTATATATATATTTTTTATTTATTTATTTGTACGGCTTTGATTGGTGTTGACGATACAGCAAAATTGTTATTGATTAATTTCGGTGCATTTTGGATTTTTTCTTGCTCAAGACACAAATTAAATCTTTGCAATGAATGGATTTGGGAGAAGGACCCTCCCAATGACGATGACATATGAAAGGGGCAGCCCATATTCGACACGAAAGTTTTCCTTATGAATTGCTCTCTTCTTCCCGAAAAGATATTTATGACTTTCTGATATTGACATAAAAAAGGTACATCGGATAACTGGAATAGACTTTCGTTATTAAAGATAGATTGGCAATATGAGACTACTCTACTGTCATGAGATAGTGTTTGATAAATTGAGATAGATGTAACCTCATGTATGCTGCATTTACCATTTCTGCAAATCAACTTTTTAAAATGGGATAAGGAAATAAGAGGATGGGACAACTTTCCTGATAATTTCCAGGAAAGCAAGTTATATTCCTTTTTGCAAAAACTCTTTGAACCCGAAATGTCAGGTGCCCTTGTGATGATAAAGAGTCAGCCATATTTTTTTTCTTCTAGAGTATAGTCTAGAAAGATTGAAGTCATATTTTATTCTTTTATAGCAAGGCCTCATATTGACACTGTTCTAGCTTTGACATACCAGAAAATGTGATATTTGGCTTTCTATTAATACTTGCCAAGAAATGGATATGGTTTGCTCCCTTCTGCCTTGACAACACTACCAGTCACTGAAGTTTATAAAGTGAAATAGTTTTTCTTTGACAATCCTGCCTAATAAAGGTCTACTTTGAGTAATGTGGATACTGATATATTTTGTATTTTGTCTTTTGACTATAAATGAGGTCCTCTGAGGGCTGTCACCTTCAAAATGTTGTACATAAGATAGGGGCACTCACATAAGAACATTCATTTGACAATGACATTATATGCATTGTGACATGGCATCTTGGTGTTTTCATGAGAGCTGAGAATTAGCATCTTGCAGGTGATGTGAATTCCAGCTGCCATTATTTGTGTAGGTACCCATTAGACCCTTTGATTGTGTTGTCTGCCTCATGATATTTCATTAAATATCTGGTAGGTGTTATCTGCTACAGCTGTGAAGCAGCTGGATTATTTTTGGGGTTTGATGGAAGAAAGAAGTTTGTTTTACTCCTGCATTATGTTTTTTGCTTATTACTTCTCTAGTTCCTATATTATAAATTTGTGATATTGATTGATTTTTTTATTTTTTTATTTATGTGTATAAAGGTTTGTTGTTCGAAATCTCTTCCAACAATTCCCAGAAGGTAAAAGCTATTTTGCAGTCCTGTTCCAGTATCTTCATGCATAACTATTTTTACAAAGGTTTATTTAACTTTAAATTTCAGTTTTCACTACTGCACAAACGTGAGAATTCACATTCCGAAGGTATCTGGGCTTGTGCCTGGGGACATTATGTACCTAAGGATAAATCAAAGGAGTCAACAAGTGAAGACAAAGAGCAAGAAAATGGAGAGGAGAATAAAGAGAATGAGGAAAATGAGAAGGACAGAGATAATCTGCCTGATACGTGAGTATGGACAAATACTCACTTTTGTGCTGGGTACTTCAAATTACTTTACTATTAAGACTCACTATTTTAAGAATTTTTAAATTAGGAAAGCCATGATATCCAAGATGAAAATAAAAGTTAGGTTTAAGCATCAATGAAATATTGTTATAAAATTGTCATGCAGAAATTCTTAAAGTATTATTTTGAGTACTGTATCAATGCAAAATTTGTTGATATCAAATTTACTTTTCCAACTTCCTCTGCTTTTCAGGGAGCAGAGGTATGTGGTGTCGGGTGGGTTAGATGACCTTGTAAAGGTTTGGCGGTGGACAGGCGATGGTGTGGAAGGAGAGCTGTCTGCCATGCACACACTGGAAGGCCACTCCCTTGGTGTAATTTCAGTAGACGTCAATGCTGAAGGAACCATGGCTGCTTCTTCGTCTCTCGATTCAACCATTCGGCTTTGGAATATCCACTCGGGTGAACAGGTAGGGATGTAGCATTTCAACTTGTTTTGATTCTGTCTTTTATTTTGACCTTTTTCTTTACAATTTTTATATATCCCCTTGGTGACAATGAAGGCTATAGCCATCATGACATAACAACCAGTGATGTGGAAATGTGTCATGATTTGTAGTGGATGCGCTGGCTATACACAGCTTAGGCCTAGCCACAAAGTCTAGACTCCTGTGTAATATTACATCACAAACGAATAAGGCCTCCTCACCATATATATATATATATGTATATAGATATAGATATAGATATAGATGTAGATATATTTTTTTTTTTCAAACCTACTAACGCTGGTAATTTTTGAAGACAAAAATAATATTTTTGGGGTGGCTACAAAATTGGCATGCAGGGCCTGCTCAGATTCTGCCCGTGAGCCGGCTGCAGCCTGTGATGCATTCGGAGCACAAGCTCCGATCTAATGTCACACTAGCAGGACGCCTGGCAATGTTTATATTTCTGGGTATCTCATATATGGGACACCAGTCGTAAATGGGTTAATTCTATTAGAATTATATTCTTTCTTTGGATTGCAATATGGATGTGTATAATTTAATTTTGGTTGATGGTTACAAAGCAATATAAATGTGTAAGACATCAAAGGTCATACAGTACTATAGAAAGGCGTGTTGTGATCGTGAAAAGAGTAAAGAGAGGGTTAGTTGATGATTAAATGTGCTTCATGTCAGAAGTCTTATAGCAGTTTAGGAATGTAGGGTTATTAAATCAGAGGTGTCAGAGGAAGTGTGGGATTTTGTAAGGATGTTCATAGGATAAAATAGGGATTAACAAAGGAAAAAGGTTTTTAAGAGCAATTAGATCAGTTAAGGGAGAGAATCCAGGGAAGGGGGTTGTTGTGACAAAGGGTCTCATCCAGGGGGAAGCAGAATGGATAATGGGGAAGGAAGGGGGATGATGCAGCTGAAGCAGGAAGGAATGAGATGCATTAGGAGGGAGTAGGATGAAGGGGTATTGAAGGAACATGAGAAATTACTTTGAGTGTAGAAGGAATAAGAGCAGTGAGATTGGAGGTGTAGGTAAGTTATCTTGGTTCATAATTAGATATTTTTGAATGTCTTCAAGAGTTTCTAAAGTAGAGTTGGTTGTGGAAGCATGTGAAACAAAGGTTTTCAAATGAGGGGGAGAAGAGGGGACAGATGTTTGAGGGGTGGCAGTAAAGGATAGGATAGGAAAAGATGGGGTGGAGCATCATAGTCAACAAGCTTGTCTTGTGCGATGAGTTCAGCAAGGAGAAAGAGGGGAAGGTAACAGGGAAATAGTTATTGGATTATCTGGAATAGAGTATATATACAAGAATAGAGAATATATACAAGTAACTGGATTTAGAATGGCAAAAGAATTTGATTGGGAGAGGAAGGGGGTAGAAGTAGGATGAGGAAGAGATACAGGGGGTGATGTAGAAACCTTGGGATGAAAGGGGAGGGGCAAGGCGAAGGACATTTTTGGAATAGAGCATGAGAGAAAAAACTCATCAACATGCTGCCTGTGTGGCTTTGTGTAAAGTGAGGCCATTTTTGAATCTGAAAATTGCTATTTCAGACTCAAACTTGTAGATAGGGCAGCCCCAATGAAATACATCATGGGAGCTAGCACAATTGGCACACGTGCGTGTCTGAGCAGAGCAAATTGAATCATGACCAGGTTGGATACATAGAGGGCAGTGGGCTGTGGAGTGACATTGTTTGGCTGGGTGGCCAAAATGCCAACCTTTCTGACATTGACAGGGAAAAGGTTGATATGGTTGGAAAGGGCAGGACACCACTAATATCAACGTCATGGAGGAAGTCATGTCTACGGAAGCTAATTTTGGAAATATTGGTGTAGGATTTATGCTGGTCTCAGGTAGAAATAGTGTAGCACTGTACTGCAACTGTATCATAGTCAGCAAGGCAGGGAAGCAGGTCGTTTTCACAGTCTGACTAGCCCATGTAATAGATTGGACAATCAGTCAGGAAGATGGAAACAGTTCTGATACAAGTATTAAGAGAGGAACGAGGTCTTAATGCCCCTAATACTGGTAAAACATCTTGATTACTGGCCATGATGAGCCTGAAATAAATGGCTAGGCAATTAACCAAAGGAATACCATGCCCATAGCTTCCGAAAGGCATTCATAACTGACACAAAGCCAGCCTTTCATCCGTTCAGCATGGCTCTCACAAGTTAGGAAGTGGACAGTATAACGGGATGAAGAAGAGAAGGAAAAGGAAAGAGAGAAAAGAAAAGACCATGCAAAATTAGTTGATATGAGGTTTGAGGTTTGAGGTTTGAGGTTCAAGGTTAGGATGATACCCTATGTTAGGCCTCAGTCACTGTCTCCGACCCCCCCCCCCACACATACAAACACACACGATAACAATGAGCAAAGGATTGGGGGGATAGTCTATTTATAAAAATTTTGCTTAGAACAGTATGAAAAAATGAAGCAATATAAGTGTCTGTTTCTATTTATTGAAATACTCATGTTAGTAACTCTTAAAAAGTATATAAAATTTTGAGGTTTTGTAATGCAATAAATGACGAA